AGCCTCATGGGCTATCAAGGCTTGTTCCACGACGGTCCTTCTCTGCTTGGAGAACTTGTTGAGGTTCATGTTCAGGGATTTCACCAGCTTGCTGGTGATGGGTCTCCTCACCTCAGAGGGGTTATCTCCAACTGCAATCTCGGGCTCGTACAGGTTGAGGTCGATCTTGTCGATGTCCTCGTCCATCTGGAAGGCACTCTCAGGTCCAGCGCGGTTGGTGGTGGCCAGGTACTCGTGGATGTCGATGTAGTCGGAGGGAAGTGTTTTGTGCAAGCTTTGTAGTACAAAGTAGTAACTAGTACTGGAACGTATTTTGTGCAAGCTTTGTAGTACAAAGTAGTACTAGGAAGTGGTTTTTGCAAGCTTTGTAGTACAAAGTAGTAACTAGTACTAGAACGTGTTTTGTGCAAGCTTTGTAGTACAAAGTAGTACTGGGAAGTGGTTTTTGCAAGCTTTTGTAGTAGACATCAGTACTGGGAAGTACTTGACATGAAAATAGCAGAGGTCCTCGAAGGTCTCGTCAGTTACGTAGTCAAAGCCCACGTTGTTACCATCAGGGTCGTTTTCGACTCCATCGTCCAACCTCAGGAGAAATTCTCCTTTCTCACCTTGGGTGACGGTTGTCCAGGGGCCATCACCAATTGACATCTTGTTGGTGTCATAGTCCATCTTCAGCTTCAAGGCCTGCAAGATCGGCCTTCCGACCAAGAGCGGCGTGTTGCCTTCGACCACAAAGCATTCCATGTAGCCAGTCCTTCCGCCTATGTAGACTGGTAAGCGGACTGACCAGTCAGCTTGTCTCGAAGCGTCACCTCCAAAACCAAAAGTCTTGTTGGTCGGCATGAAGAGGAACCGGTCAGGGCTGATGCCACGACCACGCATGTAGTCCACGATGCGCATCAAGACATCGTGACCACAGACAACTGAGCTTGCACCTCCATCTTGAAGTCCAAACCATCCAGCAGGGCCCAGGTGTGGTACTCCTCGAGGTCCTTGTTTGGCCATGTCACGCACCATCATCGCAGCTCCATCGTTGCCCTTGGCCTTCTTCGACAGAGATGTTGAGGTAGGCGAGGAGGTAGGGCTCTGCCGTGTCGTAGACTTCGAAGGTGAATTTTGTGGGCAATGAGTTGCCCAGTGTCCAATTTGGCCACATTTGAGACAACGTGTGGCGTTGGCTCGCTGTGGAATCTGTCCTCCCTTGTTGACCCAGGTGCTGGTCTTATTCTTGGACTTGGTCTTGGACTTGGATTTTCCACGGCCTTTGGCCTTTGGAGGTCTTGGGCCTTGTGACATCGGGGAACCAGCAGCAGATCCACCTCCATCAGTCAGGGCCACAACCGGGAAAAATCCTCGAGAGGCTTTCAAGTGTGCCATCTGGCGACGGGCATCAAGATACGTTGCAAACGCATCTTCATAGTTCTGTTCAGCCTCCCAGTAGGTCTCGTCAGAAACGTCCACCTCATCGTTGGCGGCATAGGTCTGCTCTTCGTACTCGTCGTCCTCGTAGTAGGCATCATCCCAAGGCTCGTCGAACTCGGTGTCGTCGAAGTTCTCGCCGTAGACCATGTTGTCATCCTAGAAGTCCTCAGTGATGTAGCCTTGTTGTCGTCCTCGCCAACGGTTCGGTGATCCATAGCCTTTGCCTCGCCAAGATCGGTCAGCACTCTTGTCCTTGAAGTCCTGCCCAAGCAAGAAGTACATCGCCTCCGTCACGGCCTTCTGCGCATAGTCAGGAGCTCTTCCTTGTATGAGCTGCTTTTGTTCTTGCGAGAGGCCAGCTCGACGAAGTAGTACCCAACCAGCAACCTTGTCGGGCAAGGAGATTCCATGCTTGTCCAGTTCTGCCAATGCCTCGCGGTGCTCGGCCACATAGTTCAGAAGCGTCTGTCCTTCACGGCGTGAGGTGCCGTAGAAGAACTTCTCAAAGGCTCTTGGCATCTCAACTTGGTCGTCATACTTGAACGTCTGATCCAATTGTCGAAGGATCAGATCGAATCCATCCTTGTCCTCGGAGGCCTTGTCGACCAGGTGCTCTATCTGGCGCCAAGCTATGCCAGTCAGGCTTGTCATCAAGTTGATGCATGCCTCCTTCTCCTTCTTCTAAATCTCCATCTTCCGTCGGTAAAGAGCTATTCTGGCTCTCCATTCTCGGTAGTCCTCTGGCTTGTTCGAGAAGACAGGGATGTAGGAGTCCTTGACGATGTCCACCCCAGGTGAAGGCGAAGAAGGAAAGCTTGAAGAAAACATACTGCAGGATGTAGGTCGCCCAAGCCAGCACAGCACGAAGAGCGTGAGGATCTCGACAGCGAAGTAGTGGGAGTGAAGCGTTGGGCTCGATGTTGAAGTAGTCCACGTTGTAGGGGATATAGGAGAGCTCGTGGTAGGGAGCCTGGACGGCTCCGCTACCAATGTTGATCAGGTAGGGGAAACGGACTGATCGGGGATTGCCACACGAAGTGCAACACAGCAAAAGTGAAGCGCAGCCTTTTGTCACAGGAGGCTGCTAGTAGCGCCAGCCATTGGCTTTGTACCCTAGGGAAGTCCCTTGTGCCCTTGAAATGGGGTTTCGGGCTAGAAAAGGTTACCGGCACATATTGTATGTGCTCCAATGTCAATTGAGAGGCACTCAATTCACACATACAATTTGTTACGAATTCCTTTTCTTCTGGTACGTACATTATCGATCTTTCCCAAAATGATGTTTATTTTCAATAATTTCTGGGAATATTATAATCAATAGTCTTAAATTTGCCAAAAATAAATTAATAATATTTTTATAGGAATTTATTATCTATATTTTTCAGAATCCCAAAACCCAATTCATAAATTTTCAGCTTATGTTCTGGCACGCTTGGTTGGTCTTTCATCAGCAATGTCATTCCCATTTTTCTTGATATTTTTATGGCCCCGCAAAGAGCTCTGCACAACAAGATTTAGGAACACAAATTATCGACGACCCTACTTTTTTCCGTACAAAATAATTCCACTAATAAAGTACGATGTTACCCCTGGAATGCGCTAATTTTCTGGACTGCGAAAATAAAATAATACGCGTAACCCCCTTCAGCTCCCTTCGGCCTTTTTTTTGGATCCAACCCCAATTTTTTTTTCCATTATATACCAGAAAATTATTATATTCCCTTTGCTATATTGTTTCTTTTTTTTTTGCCAAAATAACCTGGAATGCGATATTATAAACGTTTCATGTGAAAATTCCATTTTCTCCATATTCCAGAAAAACCTAATTCCAGGTGATTTAGCCCAAAGAAAAAAAACACGGAGTACAACGATTTTATAGAGTGCGAAAATTTTGCAGAATGCGTGAATTTTACAGTATGTATCCATCCCTAGCTGTGGAGTGCGATGTCCCATGTGGAATGCGAAAAAATTATGGAATGCGAAGAATTCTGAGTATGCGTAATTGGTATAAAAATCACAAAGATAAATTTCGGGGCCAGAACCAAAATTCCAATCCCAAAGCCAGCCCAAACTTCCAGGAGCACACCAGCTAGTAGATTTTGTTTTTCCGAATTCAGTTTGGGTGAGGCTCCGGGGCAAAAATTAGCTAATTTTTACTCAGCCAACCTTTAAAAATGTTACCTTTAACAACCCTATCCTTCTTCGGTAAACAAATGAAGAAACTCCCTTATCAAAGCAACCTTCAATTCATCCAAAGTCCACACCTGCTTTGGAACGACATAGGGGATAGAAAGCTGTGGGGGGGGCATTCAGTGGATTCGCCATGGCCCAACTGTTCCCTCCAGATTAAGCTAAAATGCCTATCAAAATAACATACCAAACCCAAATCTGGAATACAATAAAGATATGGTATACGAATTTTTTCTCATTATAGGAATATTGCCTCTAAAATTGTTAATAATTTATTTAATTATATATATATTATATTATTATATATTAATATGTTTAAATAATTTTTAAATAAATAAATTATTAATTATTAATTTTATTATAATTATTTTCTTATTTATATTATGTGTTCTATATTATTTCATAAATATATATTTTATTATTATTATCATTATATTCCCCCATTACCATTCGCATCCCTATTGACTATTGTCATCACCATCACCATCACCCTCATCGTCATTGTAGCCCGAAAACCAACGCACACACGGATCCAGTTGGGGACTCTGGAACCACCAGACCAAGAAAAACAAACCGATTCGTGTGTCTACATGCTTTCGCCCGCCAATTCATATGCTCCTTAGTTCGTATTCTATGTTATTTGCCTTCCAGTACCTGTTATAGGAATTTCCCAATTAATTATCATCACTCTCTCTCTCTCTCTCTATGATTAATCTAATAATATCCGAAATGTACAATTGGATATTGTTTTTTGAAATTTACATGTCATACAAAGCATTCAGGCACAATTTTGACATAATTGAGTACGGCGTTACAATCCATAGATTCAAAGCCGCTTAGAAACAACATTGTCAGTTCAATATGTTCTTCCATTGTTTATATTGTGTGCAAATATAATGAAATTATGCAATGCGTATAATATATATACATATATGCATACAATGTCAAATAGTAAAATATCATCAAGAATAGATACGTTTGAAATAAGTATGAAATCTATCAAATAATTCATCTAATGTATGATATGATACATAGTAGCATTGGAATAGATATATATATATATACGTATTTTTATGTGTATATATATAATTATATATATATACTGATATAGTAGGAATCAATGGTGTTCCAATTGTGTTATTACCCAAGGGAATCTTTTTTTCATCTAGAGATTTGGTAGGAAATTTCCCTTTGGGAAATGATTGCTAGCTCAGAGACTCAGAGGTATCTATCAAACCACGAGGAAGTCCACCCTTTTCACGTTGTATAGAGAATTTTCAATATTGGTGTGGCTAGAAGCCGCCCAGGCTGAATTGAATTCATAGATGATATTCGGATATTCCATCTCAGGATTAATTCGGAAGCATTCTGAGTTGTGATGATGAGTTGTTGGGCTTGACTTAGCATCGGGGCTGGACTTCACGCGATTGGAGCAATTGCACATAAGCTGGCGCTCAGCGGTTCCATCCTCTCTGGCCTTTGACTAGGCAGGTTCAACCGGGGCAATTCGGTGATCACCAAATGTGAGAGTCACCCAACTTTTGGGATCACTCGTCAAAACCCCAAGACCATCAGAAAAGTCATGGTCGTCAACCATGAGAATTTGAGTTATCCCTACGGTTTTCCTGTGGTTTCCATTGGTTTCCCATGTTTCTCACCTGTTGATCTGCTGCCCCCCTTGGGCCCCCACCCTTTGTTGACCAGAAAGGCCGTGGCGAAGCTGGCACCCAGACATTTGGGGTGTCGGGCTTCTTCCCTCAAGCGCTGGGCCTGGCGCGTACCCCAATAGCTGGATGGTTTATTTCATGGAAAATCCTATGAATAACTGGATGATAACTGGGGCTACCCCCATGACTTGGGAGTCCACCAGAATATCTGTACCAATTATACACCTCCAGCGCTTTTTCGATGTGGGCCTTGCTATGCTGCCGACACACAAACCTCTCATCATGCTGAAGTTGGTTTTACCCCTCATATTTGGACACACGAATCTGAATCATGTGGTGCTGGAGTTGACATTAATTGTAAGTTAATATTCAGCAACCTGCAGCAACAACAGCAACAACAACAACAACAACCACTACAACCACTACCACTACCACAACAACAACAACAAACAACCACAACAACCACAACAACCACAACAACCACAACAACCACAACAACCACAACAACCACAACCACAACAACCACAACAACCACAACAACCACAACAACCACAACAACCACAACAACAACGATAACGGCAACAAATAGTTGGGTTTGTGCGGAAATGTGGTTTGCTGCAATCTACTACCATTTTGAATAGTTCTACACCCACTGTTTTTTTTCCGTAACTCCCATCCTTAGACACGACCCCTTTTTTGCTGATATCCTCATGTTTTCTTGGTTGATCATCACCATCTTCTTGATACGTTTTGGATTCCACCCCACACTTGTGTTCATCATGATCATCAGCTGATCATAGATGGGATATGCCGAGCTGTATTCATTTACATCTAGTTGGCTTTGGATAAAAACAAAAATATGAAACTGAATAATGTCCAACTAAAGATGTAGCCCATGTTCGAAACCCATTGCCAGCCCATTTTTGGTGCCTCCATGCTCACCCAGCGCGCCGTATGCGCCGCCCCTGCGCCACGTCGCGCCAGTCCCACGCCCCGCAGTTGCGAGGTCCGAAAGCCCAAAGCGGCAGCCAGGGCTGCTGGACGTCGACGTTCCCTGGGAGTTCAACGAGGGAAACGATTTAAAAATGCTGGCTTTTCAATGGATATGAAAGGGGTAACATCCATATCTGCTATTTGGAGAAGAACATCTTTTGACAGCTTTGACACTATGCCGTGTGGCTGGTCTGATTCAAAAATATCTGTTTGTATACACACATATCTACATATATATCTTTATATAATTTATATAGTTGGCATTTCCAACATAGCTTCCTGCATTTTTCAGCTCAACCTGTCTGGTTTTCGAAGGCAATCTCTGCTGTGTTGTGCCAAGTCTCGCGGGGTCTGGTGCTTGAAGGCCCCATGTGCCATCTGTGACCAACCTCAAGCTGCCCAACAAGAAGACTGAGAAAAGCTGAAGCATACCTTTGAATAGTCATTTTTCCAGGTTTGTTTGAACATATCCCCAAATTTGATGGTTGATTATCAAGTTCCCTCTCAAACTTACGATTGTAGAGGTTTGGACACACTTTGGGATTGTAAAGGAGTATCAGTTGGGATACGTTGGGATACTAGTCTCTTTTATATAATCCCAATATGTGCATATATATATATATATACACATAATTATTTATATATATACGCATGCATAATTGTATATTATATTTATATAATTATATATATATAGCTATACAAATATATAAATATATAACAATGATTTATTTTATTCCAGTACTCACAGCATGCCAAGTGTCAGCCGAGGCGTCGTCATCTGCCCTGCCGCAGCTGACTGCGGGGGCGGAGCCGCTGGATGGAGCCGCGGTGCCAGATGGCGGGGAGGAGGCTGCACTGTGCCTTTAGAAAAGTCAGGATGGGATAGGGGATGATAGGGGGATGTTCCATTTTTTTTCATTCTTTGTCGATCGATTTCCATAGATAATCCATATTTGTCCATAGTTTTTATGGATATAGAATGATATAGATAATACAAGGGTACAAAAGCAGTGAATTTATGGGAATGTCATGGGGATATCATGGAGATATGGCGGGATATATTCACCACGAATTTGGAATCTGATGGCTTAGTGTGCTGAAAATTGGGTGCCCCCATATTCCATGGTTTATCATGACTTCCATTCCGCAAATGGCCATTTGCAGGGTCAATCCCATTTTCATTTTTGAAAAAATGGAATCATGAATGAAAAGATTGGACAGCCTAATGGATCTAATTATGTAATCTAATGGTGTTTGTTAATGATTGGTTTTACACCTGAAAATCAAAAGCCAGGGAGACAGGGACGCATACTGCGGCCCAGCCCAAGAGGTGACAAACATTTGCTGCATCTTTTGCTGCGCTCGCTTTTTTCGTGACATGTACGGTAGTCTCTTCAGCAACTCTGATTGAACATTGCGTGAAGTAGAATGAAACATTTCTAGGTCTTGGTTACCTCACTCCTCTCTCCTCCTTTTCCCCGTCATCTTCTACAGTCTGAAGTCTATAGTCTACATCATCATCATCATCATCATCATCATCATCATCATCATCACCATCACCATCCTCATCCTCACCATCACCATCACCATCCTCATCACCATCATCATCATCATCACCATCATCATCATCATCACCATCATCATCATCATCATCATCATCATCATCATCATCGCCATCATCATCATCATCATCATCATCATCACCATCACCATCATCATCAAAATCATAATCGTCACCATCATCATCATCATCATCATCATCATCATCGACATCATCATCATCATCATCATCGTCATCATCATCATCAACATCATAATCATCATCATCATCATCACCATCACCATCATCATCAAAATCATAATCGTCACCATCATCATCAACATCATCTTCTTCATCATCATCAATATCATCATCGTCATTGTCATCGTCATTCTCATCATCATCATCATCATCATCATCGTCATCATCATCATCATCGGCATCGGCATCGGCATCATCATCATCATCATCATCATCATCATCATCATCATCATCATCACCATCACCATCATCATCAAAATCATAATCGTCACCATCATCATCAACATCATCTTCTTCATCATCATCAATATCATCATCGTCATTGTCATCGTCATCCTCATCATCATCATCATCATCATCATCATTATCGGCATCGGCATCGTCATTATCATCATCCTAATCATCATCATCAACAACAACAACAACAACATCATCATCATCGTCATCGTCACCGTCACCGTCGTCGTCGTCGTCGTCGTCGTCGTCGTCGTCGTCGTGGTCGTCGTCGTCGTCGTCGTCGTCGTCGTCGTCGTCGTCGTCGTCCGTCGTCCGTCATCCGTCATCCGTCATCCGTCATCGTCATCGTCATCGTCATCGTCATCATCATCATCATCATCCTCATCCTCATCCTCATCCTCATCATCATCATCATCATCATCATCATCATCATCATGGTCGTCAGCATGTTCTTCTTCAATTTCAGATTAGTTTTCATGTTTATCTTATTTCATCTTCATAACAAAACCTCAGCTGACAAAAAAAACAACATGCCTGGAACGAGGCATTGGCCATACCTACCACAGAATCCCAGCCATCGCCTGTCAGCTTGCACAATGGTGGCAGTTCTGATCCGTTCATCACAGCCTCGCCGCATCTGGAGCCACTGGGAAAATCGTGAAAGGGGATGTGATACGACGTGATTCTGCCATCCCCATTGGCAGCCCATCCTCTTCCAGAAGAGCCAAATGCTGAAGCGCTGGTGTTGCATCACCTCGATTGCGGCTCTGCAGTCGATGCAAAGACTTGCAGGTAACCTTCACCTGAAGATTAGATCACTTCATGGCAGCTGGAAATATCCAGAAAGAATGACAAACGTCGCATGACTGACGCACTTAAGCATTGCCACTCAAATTCCGGGTTGCTCCCAACACCCCAGGCACAACGGGGGTTTTTGTTGGGCAGCGGGATTTGGAGGAGATTGTGCCATAGGTGGCTGATGTGGCTGTCATGTACCTATAGGTTGGAGCAGTGTGAACTCCTTCACCAAGTGACATGGAGCCTGGGATCTTTCCGTCTCAGGAACGGTCCCCAGCAACCGTCCAGGTCGAAGTTGTGGCCATGTCGTGGTCGTTGCGGGAGCTTTCCTTGTCGCGATCCACAAAAACGTACCACATGTGCAAATATATGTCTATATGTGTGTGAATATAGACAAGATATAATCATATAGCAGGCATTTCTAAATACATAATATAACATAATATAACATATAAATGTATATCATACAATATCACAATATCATACAATTATTATATATATATGTGTGTGTGTGGTTGTTTTTGACCAATACGTCTGAAAGCTACATGGCCAACAACCGGAACATCTGGTGGCGCTGCCGCGTCACCTCAACCGCGACGTGAAACGTCCCGAGAGCTGCAACTCCGATTCCGGGGATGGCCCCTGAGGCGGGACCCGAAAGGTGGTGACTGTCAGTGGCTTATGAATGGCTTATGAATTTGTTTAATGGTTTCTTCATGGTTTATGAACATCTGTTTAACATTGTTTAACCAACATCTAACCATCATCTATGATTGGATGGTGATGTATGGCTTCTTCGCCCAATAATTGTTGAGTAACAATAGTAACAATCTATATCTTGGGTCACCTGTGGGAGGGGATTCCCCATGGCACCTTGGAGGTGACTTCCTCCTTCAGGTGTTCCTCCGGGCATGGGTCTGTCGGGGACCTCTAAAAAAGTGTCAAATTCGGGTCAAATATCATCAAGTGTCATGAAATGTCGCAAGTTTGGGTATGCTTAACATTGGAAATGGATTGGGTGAAATGTGTTTGTAGTCAACAAATGCACCCCAACACCTATGAGAATCCTCGGTCCACACTCATGCAACACGCCATATAGTGTCCAGTGTTACCCATGGTTGGGAGAAGTGGAAAAGTATGGAACAGTGTAGCACCATCCTTGCGCAAAAAAAAAATGATCACAAGAAGTCCTGGAAGGCAATTTTTCCAGGGAACATTTGCAGGGTTTAGCCTGCCTGCAGCACATCCTGCATGACTTGAGCCAGCAGCTCTTGGCCATCATCTCTGGCCCTCGGGTCAAAACAACTGAGGGGAAGAAAACCCAAACCATTGGGGGTTATCTCCTGGCAAGTTCAGAAAACTGAGGGAAATCATGGGAAATCCCAAAGTTGAGTTCATGTTTTATTTTTGATGATTTGATGTCGATACGGGGATGTAGTGGCGATATTTACTGGAACATATTCATGGAATATGATGGAATGTGGTTGTGTCTCAAAACGATATACCCTCCGGTAATTTAACATGGTTGGCTGGAAAATCCAAATTTCTAACAGGGAAGTCATGGGAAGTCATCTATAGCTATAAATGGGTTTGGAACAAGTGCGGTGCGGGGAGGAACTGGTACAGTATGGCGACCAGCAGTCTGAGCAAAAAAAGGCCTGTGTGGTTGCATGTATGAGATTGTACGGAAATTTATAGCAAGATACTGTACCAGTGGGTGTGAGTGCGGAAAATGATGTCATTAACCCTGGACAATGATGGACACATTTCGAAATGTTTGAAGTTCCAAATGTTTGCATTGCGTAGAATGACGCATATCATTGGTGGGGCATTTTGTTCAATGATCCACATCCATTGAGCTTATCAATTGGCTGAATCCACACAAGATCAACTAAGCCAGGCGGCGACATTCAGCACAAAAATTGGGAATGCTTTGGCCCGTTGGCGCTACTTGAGCTGGCAAAACCATGCAGGCACTGATTTCACTCCTCAACTCTTGGAATTGTGTGACTGCCCTGCACACCCCTCTTCAGAAAATTAGACAAAGCAACCATCTGGGGCATCAAACCGCCAGGAGGAAAACAAAAACTTTTGTGGTTAGCAGGCACAAGAACTGATCAAACAGCTTTCAAATCGACTTTTGAAGGTCCAATTTGACCTGATCGATCTGTCATCTTCTGTCATTGCCCACCTTTTTGCACTGTTTGCGGAGCCGAGTTTTGGGCGACGCCAGGTTTGGACTCGAAACTACCCAAAAAAGGTGCCCTGACGGATCCGAGGATCCGACCCATGGAACTGATGAGGTCTTGGCTATGCTTCATATTTAGAAATGCAGTACCCTCTGGTAAACCAACGTAACTATGGAAAATGCTCATTTTTAATGGGTAAATCCACTATACATGGCCATTTTCAATAGCTATGTTAGTTTACCAGAGGGTACATGAGGCAAAAAGTTAGCAATTATTCATATCATTTAATATCCTCTTTATATAGCATCAAATAAGCAATTTTGGATGGGTCTATGTAATTATCTGGAAGCCTCCCCGGGCAACATTGCTGCCACCATCCAGCTCTTTGCGCTAATGGACTGGCGACCTGCATTGGTTTGACATTGGGAGCCATTGATGCCTTGCACGCTGTCATGTGGAACATAAACTTCAGTGATTCAGCATGATTCACGGCGATTCACTCTGATTTACCATCAAAGTTTGATCATCAAAGGCTTCAGGTGATGGAAAAGGTGCCAAAGATTGCCTTCTGCAAGTGGGTTCCAGGCTCTTTCCTCAGCCCATTTGATCATCTGTATCAACTCCACTGCGCGATTTGCTGATAGAGCTGGGAATCCAACAAAATCCACCACACCCCTTCGGGGGGTTGCAAGTCATTCCCAAATCTTAGCAGGGATGAAATGCAAGCAAATGGACATGTTCAGCAGGGTCCGTATAAAGTCAAGAGAAAATCCAAGAGAAAGGAGAACTTTGCGATTCGCAACTTCTGACTTCTTGGAACTCTTTACCTTCTTGCTTGTCTAATCATATAGGGCCCACAACCCTGTGAGCCAACATCCTCAACTAAAATGTTGCATGTGCAATTCATTTCATTTCTTGCCTCCTGCAACAGATATATATATATATATATCAATGACAGTCAGAACAAGCTCAAAAGCCTTTTGATGTGTTTAAGTTGTGTGATGACGATTCCTCTCAACTTCACCGACAGGATCCGCTTCTAGACGGTTTCTGGCAAACAGCAGCTAGACTTTGACGCCTTGTCCGGACGCCTGAAGTGACTGGTAGACTAGACACCAGCACATTCAAAGATCCCGAGCAAGCCGTCAACTTCCAAAGGAGTTCCAAGAAGCTGTTCAATCCTCTGTTTCAATATGTTTCAATCATGAAATTGAGCTTGAAGCTTGTGTGTAGGTGGCAGCAGGTTGCTTTGTGATTGGATTCTGTTTTATTTAGCAGGAAGTCCTTCGGAAAGTGACCCCAGGAGTTCCCCTCACAGGGGGCTTCTGGTTGCGGAAGTTGCAGTCACTCTTGGGGTCGGCCACTCTTTAGTGACATCCTTCGGTGCGGATGCCCCAAGGGAAGGAGCTGCCCAAAGCTTGGAAACCACATCGTTGTATGATGCGATGGATCTGAAGCGGACTTGAGTTCTATCCCTTGCACATGTAGGCTCCCATGTGAATCCACAATTGGAACTGAATCCACTAGGCCATCCCCATGCCTACCAGACTGTTCAAGAGATGGGCTGTCGCTGGCTCCTTACCACTCAGCCAAAATATAATTACAAGCAAAGAAACGCCCGGAATTGCGGAAATGGTCGCTGACTGCTCCAAAGGTGCTAGGCAAATCCTGGAGTCCTGAAGGAGATCCTTTGTTGGCAAATCTCGTGTGGAGATACGATGTGCGATGCAAGGTCCGGCAATAGTTTGCAGTTGGACTTTGGTGAAGGAAGTTTTGCAAGATCTATGCAACAAAACAGTTGCGTACTACATGTTACTACTATTTATGTTGAATCAAATTGTCAATCATCCCGAATTGACATTGGATTTAAGAATTTAAGCACATTAAGAACCATTATATACCTCCATAAACACTCCATTTTCACACTCAGCTTAGGCTTTCTCCAGGGACGGGGGTCACATTCGCCCCTAAAAGAGGGTCACATTCGCCCCTAAACCAAAAGGGGTCACATTCGCCCCTAAACAACAATAATTTAAATATGTTACTCAACCCTTTAGGGTTTAACCTGGGGACAAGGGGACTTTTAGGGGGACTGGGGTTTAGGGGGGGACATGGGGGCATATGTTGACTTGTCTCTCTATTCCATATGTTACTCAACCCTTTAGGGTTTAACCTGGGGACAAGGGGACATTTAGGGGGACTGGGGTTTAGGGGGGGACATGGGGGCATATGTTGACTTGTCTCTCTATTCCATATGTTACTCAACCCTTTAGGGTTTAACCTGGGGACAAGGGGACATTTAGGGGGACTGGGGTTTAGGGGGGGACCTGGGGGCATATGTTGACTTGTCTCTCTATTCCATATGTTACTCAACCCTTTAGGGTTTAACCTGGGGACAAGGGGACATTTAGGGGGACTCGGGTTTACGGGGGGACATGGGGGCATATGTTGACTTGTCTCTCAATTGACATATGTTACTCAACCCTTTAGGGGTTTACCTGGGGACAAGGGACATTTAGGGGGACTGGGGAACCTTTAGGGGGGGACTTGGGGGCATATGTCAACGTAGGAATGGTACACCGTAGCATGATAGTGTCCTGGAAGTTGATTGAACTGGCTGTTGGAACGTAGCATCCGAGGCGTCTTCCAAGTTGCTCGAACTAGATGGTACAACGTAGCATCCATAGTGTCCTAGAAGTTGATTGAAATGTCTCTTGGAAGGTAACATCCAAAGCGTCTTGGAAGTTGCTCGAAATGGATGTTACAACGTAGGAATGGTACACCGTAGCATGATAGTGTCCTGGAAGTTGATTGAAATGGCTGTTGCATCCGAGGCGTCTTCCAAGTTGCTCGAACTGGATAGTTTAACGTAGCATCCATAGTGTCCTAGAAGTTGGTTGAAATGTCTCTTGGAAGGTAACATCCAAAGCGTCTTCGAAGTTGCTCGAAGATGGATGTTACAACGTAGCAATGGTGCACCGTAGCATGCATAGTGTCCTGGAAGTTGATTGAAATGGCTGTTGGAACGTAGCATCCGAGGCTTCTTCCAAGTTGCTCGAACTGGATGTTACAACGTAGCATCCATAGTGTGCTGGAAGTTGATTCAAATGGCTGTTGGAACGTAGCATCCGAAGTGTCTTCCAAGTTGCTCGAACTAGATGGTACAACGTAGCATCCATAGTGTCCTAGAAGTTGATTGGAATGTCTCTTGGAAGGTAACATCCAAAGCGTCTTGGAAGTTGCTCGAAATGGAGGTTACAACGTAGCAATGGAACACCATAGCATGCATAGTGTCCTGGAAGTTGATTGCAATGGCTGTTGGAACGTAGAAAAACACGTGAATATCACTCTCTAGGGTGGAAAAAATCCTTTTGAGGCTCTGAAACTATTGCGCCTGCCACGCAAAAGCAGGGGTCACATTCGCCCCTAAACGAGGGTCACATTCGCCCCTAAACACACTTCATCCCCCTTCATTTAGGGGCAAATGCGACCCAAGATGGTTTAGGGGCAAATGCGACCCCCGTGCCAAACATTAAGAACCATTATATACCTCCATAAACACTCCATTTTCACACTCAGCTTAGGCTTTCTCCATGTTTCTCCACCAGATCTCCTTGGGATCTGCCACCTTTGCTGACCGTCTGGGACCAGCGCGGACGGCTATGCTGGTGCAAGCGGTAGCTGAAAACCGAGCCGCCGGGGATGCACCTCAAATTTGTCCAAGCGCTTTGCCATGGTCCGCATCAAGGCACCTGCCATCGATTTTTTGAAACCTGGATGGTTGGTCACCAAATGTCACCAAGATATATATATATATTACATTATAATATATATATATATATTACATTATAATATATATATATATAATATTATTTTATTTTATTTTATAATATATATATATTATATATACACATATTATATTATATATATATTATTATATATTGGGACATGAGGGATAATTATTCTGGGATGTAAGCAGCAATGTCATGGAGTCGTCTGAAGATGGGGGGTCCAATAGATGGCAACTTTGCAATGGGAATCCGGTGGACGTGGGGGTACCTGTGGGCATGTTCTTTTCACATTGGGGCTACCTCAAATGTCATTTCTTAGTCGTGTTCGAAAGGGGAAGCCGCGAAGCCACGGGAAACCCACGGTCTGATGTCGCAAATGACTGGGCAACCACACGGAATTCCTCCTCATTAATTGTTCTATCACCATCTGCATCTGCCGCATCCAGCACGTTCTTCACTGTGTCGCTGCAACCCAGCACCCTGCATAGCATGTCAGTGACGCAAAGTGCCCTTTGATGTTCAACACCCTGCTGCTGTGTGTTGTTTCAATCTAACTGCCATCCCCCATCCCACCTGAAGAGCTCATGCGGCTTGATCAAGCCCGACTGATCGATATCAAGATAGTGAAACACCTGAAGCTTCAGCCAACTCCGAAACCACTGACCTCCATGGACCCCAAATCCTAGGCTGTCGATGCCAAAACAAGTCTACAGGACCTGGCTGAAGGCCCAGTTCGGTCCATAGGCTTTGAAAAAATTGACGGGGTACGCCAATTTATGGCCATTAACAATGGGAAACCGATACTTCAAAAAATCATTTAAGAAAAAACACGTTGACACGTTGGATTTCAGGGAAACAGGGAGACAAGAATGAAGACGAGGAAGAGAAGATTGCAAGGTGGAAGCGTGGGTACCATTGCGCCTGCTTGATCGCCTTGTCCGTAGCCAGCGTCGAAGGCTTCATGGTGGCGGCCAACCATTCGGTGTAGTGGACCTTGCCTGCGTTGATTCGAGTTGGATATCAGGATGACGCGGGATGTATGGGTCAAGAACCTACACCCATACGCCCAAGTCCTTGCAATGTTTGCGTCTGACAGCTATTCCCAATCAAAACGCTCGCCACGACCCCTGTCCCGGCACAGACCTTGCAAAACCGCTTTCCCCATTGGAAACGCTAGCTTTAACAAGCCTTGACCAAACTATCATGGTTCTATTCGTTTTTGATCGAATCCCATCGGAACGCCGGTTTCCAACGGGCCTTTTTTCGTGGGCACTGTTGACGCCCACAAACAAAAATGCGAAGCAGGCCCTTTTCCTAGTTTGTATACTGCAGGATGGGTTCTGATAAAGGAAAAAAACGAGGTCCAAAACGAGGTCCAAAACGAGGTCAAAACGAGGTACGGAAAAAGCCCCGCATCTACACACATGGACTTTGGCCCGCAAGCCGCAAACCTGCCCTTCCTTGGATCACTGGTAGCGAAACAATGACAATTTGCAGAATCCCAGCACACCGCCATGGCAGTGTAGAGATGATAATCCCAGCGTTGTGTAGAAGTACCCGGAAACAGCAACAGCAGCAGCCGTCGAACCAGCAGCCGCAGCAACAGCAAGACGCCAGTAGCTGCAGAACCCAACAGCAACCATCCCAAACACAATGCGAACGCAACTAGCAAGATTAAAGCACTATGCTAATAGTAAAACAACGCCCTACCCCAAACACAACCTAAACGCCGCTTCGCCACTTTAGGTCTACATGAGATAGTAAAACAGCAACCTACCCTAAACACAAGCTAAACGCCGCATCGCCACGACTTCCACAAAAGCCTTCCCCCAAGCTAATTTCAAGATTTTTGGGATTTCGCCACGACTTGGGCAGTTGGGAGTAGCCTGGTTTTTCCAATGGTGAACATCGCCAAAGAGCTGGCAACATTGGCAAGTGGATACGCTCTGGTAAATTAACATAGCTATTGAAAATGACCATTTATAGTGGATTTTCCCATTAAACATGGTGATTTTCCATAGTTATGTTAGTTTACCAGAGGGTATCCATTCCCCCAATGGTGGTTCCGTAATTGTAGGCCCATCCCCATCTACGCCTACGCCGAAGAAGACATCCTCTTCCATCCCCCGAGGCCCCTCCTGTGCCATCGGCATCCAAGGCTAAGAAGATCTCGTTCAATTCTTCCTCTTTCATATGGTGGCCGCACAAGCGAATGCCTTCCTCGGTCATAGGGTTGTCGGAATCTGACCCACTGCCCACGGAATTTGAACGACTGAACCTCGATGATCTCGGGTTTCCGAAGACAAAGAATGGCAAAGATCATTCGTTTCCAGGAACACCCCTGCAGCCATGCATCTCTGATCTCAGACTTGCTCAAAGAGCCTTAGCAACAAGAAACCAAAACCCAGAGGACCCAGAGCATACAATGATAAGGACTCATACTGGGCACATCAAAAATGACACAAGGAAAGAATCCTTTTTAAGATTGCAACAGCTGTTCTGAGTCAACCTTTTTGGGTACCGCATGGTACCGTGTATGTACAATTGTAAGCATCGCAACTAGCAAACCGAAAAGATGTGCACCCTGGTGCCACACCTGGTTGGACAAGAGACCAGTCCTTGAGATGTCCAGCAAGTGGAACGTGTCACGTAGCTCCGCAATGTGTTGCTCCTGGCCATGAGCCACACTTGAATCTAAAGCAGAGGCTACAATTCCAGCAAGATCAAACCACCTCACCTGCCATCTGCAAGGATTTCTGACATGAGTTTCTTCCTTCCCTATGCTTCTTCCCATTCTCTTAGTCCAAAACAGGCTTGGGCATATTGACATGACACGTGGCCTCTGAGCGATGGGCAACAAGGGTGAGCACCTGGATTTCAGGTGGAAAAGCTTGCAGCAAATGGCTCTCGGTGTCAATAGTAATCCATGGTAATCATGTCTGTATGGCAAAAGTCTCATGGCTAGGCGGCGGAGGCATCATCGGCAGCTGGGGTTGCGCACTGCTCGCTCAAACTTCGAGTAGTGTCGGAAAGCTGCTAATCGTCCTAAGGACACAAAGCCGAAAAGAGGTGCGCCTATTGCATCACAACTGTCGGATGTTGATAGTTGATATGATCTTCCTGGGATGCCTCTGAGATGTTCATGTCGCAAACCCATGACATGAGGTACACAGATTGCATTCCAAGCTGCTGATTGTGCCTGGAGGCAGCACGGATGTGGCTTTACTCATTGTGCTCAGGAATGGCATGCTCTTGCTTCGAAAACTGTGCCAATGCATGTGCAAAGTACCAATCATCAATCTAGGTAGAAGCGAATAAGTCACGTCGTGAGTGAAAGCGTTCTCTTGCTCGCCGATTGGCCGTTAAACCCAAAAAACCGTCTTCTTCGGAAGAAGGGAGAGGCAGAGAGAGAGAGAGAAAGAAAGAAGGAAAGAAAGAAAGAAAGAAAAAGGATACAACTAGAAAGATACAGAAAAGATTGTATCCGCAAATGCACATCTACACGTCTTTGACTATGTGCCTGCAATTATGTAGTGCTATGTCATACAATGTGCTTCAATAAGCATACACACACACACGCGCGCGCGCACACACACACGCACACATGTGCCCAATGACGCATGTCACCATATATCTACATTATCTACTCGAACAGACAATGCCAAACACATGATGATACCGGACCGTGTCGCCAAGACACCATGTGTCAGCGGAGACATGGGACTCTTGGGCTTGTTGCTGTTGGATGCCGGACTCTCTGGTGTGTTGATTTCCATGATGTGGCTGTGATGTCGAGGCCGTCGATCCTGCGAGCACCACATGGAATAGAGAAACAGCGCACTTTCTGCAGAGAAATGGACATGTTTGAAAATGTGGTTTGCGCCAACATAATTAGCCATGTTGTTATGATAAACCTCTTAGATTTTTGGGGGGTGTTCCATTTTTTGGCCATACCATGCCATACCCACTGCGTGGTCACACTCTTGCAACCCTTAACGTCCTTAACATCCGCCAGCCATTTGCTGCGCAAAGCTCCCTGAGCATCCATTCCTCAGAGCTGAGGCGCTAAGCTCTGTCGATGTTCAAAAATGACAATTGAAAATCCCCCATAACTAACATGGAGGTTTAGAGCTGGGAAAATCATTTATCAATGATTCTAAATGGATGATTTCCATTGATTTCCATTGCCACGTTTGATTACTGGAGGGTACATCTGCCATTTTGAGTGTGGCGTATCACACTCCAGCACTGCAGCACCTCAATTTGCATACACGCATAACGGAGCCTTGGCTTTTGTGGTATCTCAGATTTCACAAAAACAGCCGGAGTAGTTTGGCCAAGCATCTTGCAGAAGGATTCTTTTCCTGACTTAAACCGTCAGTTTCACAAGCCTCTTCAAGAAAACATCGCAAGATACAATGGTTTGGTCATGAAAATTGGTTTCCTCCTCAACCCCATGAGTGTGGCCTGGAGAAAAAAAAAACATCATCCACATGACAGCGACTCTTTCAAAATGCAGAAATTTCCCATTGAGTCAAGTGGCGAGCAAACCCATCAATAGTTGACAAGCATCATAATCCAATCCGGCATCCTGGCAATGGCACCCACTTCTTTCCCTATTTAGTCTATCTGAACATTACCCTCTTTGACTCTTTGACTATCCTGGTGAAGCTGCATTGTGAAGTCACATGTCTTGCCCTTAAAGTCATTACGACGTATAGTTTAAAGGTGTTTCCCACTTATTGCCCCACCAGCAAGATCACCAAGCCTGCAAGGGCCGCTGGCGAATGCGGCCTGCCAATATCTTCCTGGCCAACTTTAACGGCAATGGCAGCTTGACAAAATCGAGCCGAATTTTTACCACCAGACAACACACGGTGTCACGCGGCGTGTCCCGAAAAGAGTGGGCGTCTCCATCTTGTGCGCATCAGGGCAGCAAGGATGCTCATCCGTCATGATGATGTACCTTGGCCCCGCATCAACCAAATGCGCCTCGCACGCAGGCTTGTTTGCAAACATGCCATGAAGGATTCACCCTTCCCTCCCAGTTTCGTTGCAGCCAAAGCACAGCATGACCCCCAAGGACCAGCAGTCACACTTGCATCCATAGGGGATTGTCTTGTCAATCACTTCCTGATGTTTGGAGGCAATCGATGGTGAATCCAACGTCCAACAGTCCAACTTCCCGAAAGCATATGGAGTCAGCCAAGGAACAGGTGCTACAAAAAATCGAGTGCCAAGCTGTTCATTGAGAAATGTATGCTCTTCATCTCCTGGCATGGCCAAGCAAGGAGACATCCTGTCAGGAATCACTACACCATGGGATGGTGGGGACTAATTTCTTGCCACATGGGTCCTCTTTTGCAGAATCTCCCTGGATCAGCCATACTCCAAGCTTTGGACTATTGGGATGTTCCTTGACCCCAGAGTCGCAAGGGGTTCGACGCTATTTACAGTATGCATCAGTATGTACAGTACAGAACTTCCATGTGCTATCCACAGCGACATAAGCAGCTGAAGGCTTAGAGCAGCGGTTTGCTCAGCGGGAATATCTCTCCAGAATGGCTTCGATCGTGTCCAATGCTTCCCTCCAAGCTTTGGGCATTGGCCTTATTTGCTTCAAGCCCTGACATCGAGGATCCAAACGGAGAGCCTCCTGGTTGGCATTCTGGGGCAAGTCCTTGACATAGCGTGTACCAGGTCTGAGCATAGCCGTGTCACTCTTGAACATCGAGCCGACATAGGGCATGACCAAGGGTGGGTTAAATGCAAGACCTCTCATGATGGGCCGGATGTACGAACTCCATTCCATGGATCGTTCGTTGTACTGGCCATCCATGCCACAACCCATCGAGATCGAGAAGAAATCATCCAAGGGTATCCTCGGAAAGAAGTGGATTGACGGAGAAAAGACGAGCCTGCCGCATTTAGTATACCCCAAAAAAACCGAATAACTATACCATACTATATGATATACTCTATAAGATACTATAAGATATGCTCAATAGTCAATAATATACTAATATCATCTAATAATATCTGATATACTTTGCGAACCCATTCCCCCAACTGAACTCAAAATTCTGACAGGACTGATCAGTAGCAAGGGTCATGTGTTGATGTGCTTCGGTCTCCAAGAGCGCCCTCGCAGCATCAAGCCGAAGAATGTATCCCACGGTCCACAAGGTGTAGCCAGGCTCAACCACATGATCGGACACCACGCTGATGTCATTCTCCATTGGGCTTCGACCAACATACCTTAAACAGGTGAGGTCAAGTGTGGATTCCGGGAAGCCTTGTGGGGTCTGTGTTTTTTTCGTCTGAATTCTTGTTGATTCAAGTGGCTCCCTTTCTACCTCTCTGGTCCCATGGAAAAATATGCATCGTAAAAATTTGGCTGCAGGCCTACTGAAGCAGCTAAGGGGCATGAGATTCCAATCCAAGCCTTGAGCTTCAGAGAGATACTCACCCAGTCTTGCCTTGAAATTGGCTTGGAAATCGAAATCATCTTCGAGAATCAGCGCCGCAGGGATGTTTTGCTCAACCATTCTGTGCCACACTGCGTAGTGGCTCAGGAAGCAGCCCACCTCAGTCCAAAACTCTTCCCAGTGAAATTGGCACAGTCTCGGAACAAACAAAAACATACAAAAAACATGCACTAAATAGATTTAAATAGCAGGGTGTCTTCCAAAGCCCTCATCATTTCTTCCCCAAGCATCATTTTCACCCAGCCCATGCCCATCAATCCCAGTGTTGCGAGCCACCTCACCAGTGGTGTACGGCATGTTGTGGTTGCTGAAGCCACAATTGTATCCAGGTAAAATCCGAACACCCAAGGCATTCAGGTCGTCTTGATACAAAACACCATCTCCATCCATTGCATTCACCACAGTGGCATTCCTCAGCCACGCGAGATGTTGCGGGGTTATTTGTCACACTATCAGCATCAACATCATCAACATGAGTGAAGTGTGCCTTTTGAAGACCCCAAACCTACAGAAACAAACGTGATCATCAGAACCACTGTGAAACATGGTGACCCAATCTGCTGGATTTCCTTTACACCTGGTGCGCCACCCCAACAACCCATGCCCTCGGGATTTGTCTGTCAGGCTCAGTTGGTGCTCCTCCAGCTGTCTGAAAACTCTGGCACGCTTCTCTGGTCGCCGCGCGAGACTTACAATAAAGACGTTGTCCTCTGGGTCTCCTAGAGCGGCACCTGGTCGGGGGTTTGACCAAAAAGGACAACTGCATCTCAGCATGACAGAGACTTGAAAGAACCTGCGAAGATTGATCGTCCATGACCATTTCATACATTATCCTTTCTATATCCTTTCTATATCCTTTCTATATATATATATGTGTGTGTGTGTGACGTATATACTATATATCGCAATCATTCTTGAGTTTGAACCTGTAATCTACAAAACCTGGGATCGTCCAAACCTTACCCGGCCGCAGTGGATCTGAGATGATCTGAGGCTCCGTCGCCACCAACCGACCAATCCTATCTCATCTCAATAGCTAAACAGCTATAGATAGCTGGTTCAGGTAACACCATTCGCAGAAGCGAAGAGTTGGATCTTCACCGGTTGTTCCTTAAGTGTTTTCCCTGGGTTGTTCCCCATCCCAAAAAACAGATGTCCATAGGAAATGCCATGGTTTTTCATGGTTTTTCCAATGTTTTTCCCCAGGTTTTTCCCATGTTCCCCATGTCATACCCAGGTCCTCGTCGTCCTCGGATCCGGCCTGGTCCAAAGCGCTGAGCTCCGGCCGAGCGCTGCACCCGCTCCATGTCTTCCGGCAAGAGCCGCGGCCAGCGGCAGAGCCGCTGCCGGGCCTCCTGACCCAGCTGAAGCTTCCTCGGTGGAGGAGAAGAAAAAACCCTAGCTTTAAGGGGGGTTCACATGGTTTGACATGGTTTGACATGGTTTAATATGGTTTAATATGGTTTAATATGGTTTAATAGTGTTAAAGAGTCTTTCATAGTGTTTAATAGTGTTTCAACATGGCTCAACTGGGTTGAATGGTGTTGAATACTGGGTCTAACAACTATGTGAATCTAGCCTATATGATATATTAATTATGGTTTAGAATCTGCTCAAGGTTGATCCTAAATGTTCAACGAGTTCAACGGCAACCTGTCACCATTCCCGAGCTTCAAACACAGCTTGCTGCCACGTGACTGCGGCTCGCTGAGATGGTCGTCTTTGCTAAACCCTCAGCGGTTTTTTTGGTGCGTGGATGTTGAAATGAAATATTCATGACCAATCATGACCAAAGATACCAAACATGGTGATGTAGTGGGATTTGAATAGGAATTCATATACAATACTTGATGGAAATGAAATGACCCCACATAAATGATCCTAGTTTGCAGCTGGATGGAATGGTTGGGGGTCAGTGAGCCTGACCAACCTGATTTGAGAAGAATCGCCGGCCTCGTTTCTCCACCCACTCCATGTTTTCCATGGTGTACCTCAGGCTGCCAGGTCAAAAAGACCTGAAATCCCGTGGCGCACAATGTGCGAAGATTGCAAAGTGGATCAAAATACCTTCCAACATCTTCCAACCAGCTACATGATCTATACTACTATATACTACTATACATGATCTACCTACATGAATGCGCGGAATAAAATGCCATTCCCGTGGCTCTCCAGGTTCCATAGGTTCCATGCAGCCCATGGCACTGAAGTGTCCCATCATGATACTTCTGATGTAAGGCAGTAGTTGGATCCTCAACGGTAGAGGGCCCCAGGCTCACTTTCAAATCTTTCAAGCTACGCAGAGCGGGGGAAGCGAGATTTGATCAAACCCTCCAGCCTGAAGATTGTAAGTACGCAGCCCTGGAGCCGCCCGGCTCGCGATCAAACGACCCAGGCGACCAAACCTGAAAGCAAAGGAATTTCCGATACGAGAAACCCAGTATTTTCCGGCAAGCAGTCGAAGGACATAGGAAAATAGCGAGCAACTCAAAGCCGTTTGCCTTCCATCAACTACCATCAGCACAGCTTTACCATGGTTATACCCATGTTTACCCCTTGTCATCCCACATCCCACATGCACAACCAGACCTTCGCCATGTTCGTGCCAGCTTCGCCCGCGGCACCATGGTCAGCGCCATGCCTGAAGTGGCCATCGTCGCCATGGGGCTGGCGTGGGTCCGGCGTGGGGGCGGCCGGCAACATGGCCGCAGCAGAGGGGGTGGCACGCGCAGGGCCATCAAGAGCAACCCTTTTGGGGCCAGACCTTTGGGCCCCGTTTGATCTTTGTATTGTTGACCCAACTTGTCTGGGACATCTCAGGGCCTCAGAGTGGCAATGCTTCTAATTCATCTTTGCAGTCCTTCATTCGTATCTTGATCGTGATCTAAATTTTAGTTTATATCAGGAAACGCGTAGATGAATAAAGAAGTATAATAAATCGATGCGATGAGCAAATTGAGGGATGTGGACTTGCAGTTTCGCAAGGCATCTGCTATTGACCGAGCTCAAGCCGAAACAAGCTAAGGATATATATATATATATATCCGTGCACCGCATGATACTGTGGAGGGGGACAATGATGCCAGTGGTGGGTCAAGGGGCAGGATAGCTCTAGCTGAATGTTGACGATCCAAAATGCTCCAAGATGCTACTGTTCTACACTCTGGAGAGGAGTGCAGGGCATCCCTTCACGCCATTCCCTCCCATGGTGTATCAATGTCATCATGTTCCCACTGGCAGGACGGTCCTTGCGTGCGGATGGCGGACAAACCAAAGTCGATCACCTGGGGGCCAATCACTGGCCTCCACTTTCTGGCCATTCAAAACGTCTGATTTTGGATGAACTAGTTTCCACATGTTTCCACATGTTTCAAAAAAGCAGCTCCACCTTTCCAACGCGGTAGTTCTTGAAGCTGTTCTTGATGAGGCAATTCTCAAACTTCAGATCTCCTCAGCGGGACGCTCCCTGCCATGATCCCAAGATGCTCTCCTGATAGGTGCTTGGTGTGGTTCTTCCAATCAAAAAAACCCATTGCACTACATTGATTATGGATGGTTATAAAATCTACACACACACACATCGTGTCACATACTATGACATTATGAGGGCTGGCTGCCAGGTATCTCCAATCGCCCCTTCTTTTTTTCATCCAATAACTACCACACCAGGCACAAAAAGCCCCTCTGCCAAGTCTCGGTGAGCCACCCCATGGTCGTGGCAGTACGCCAATGCCATGACCACATCTCGAATCAAAAGCTTCACCTCCTAGCGATGCGCTAAGGGCAGAACGCCGTAGGGCACAAAAAGCCGGCTTTTTGACCGCGGAAAATTTGAAAACATATATAGCGGCTATAGTTAAATATATCATTATTGCATATATATAATTATATATATATACATATCATATATTATATATATGTCTACATCAAATGACACATCAATACTAAGTTTCACGTGGCATTGATTGGCATGTCTTTTCATCACCAAACAGCGCGCTGCTTCTGGGCAGAACGCCTGTGGGTCATCGATGCCGTGGTTCAGTTCTGAGAAATCCCCGCCATCACACAGCTCCGTGACCATAAAGAGGGCATTTTCCTGTTCGAAGTGCTCCTGAAAGTGCTGAGAAAGCGACCAGAAATTGCTGCTTAAAGTTCCAAAAGTTATCGCAGATAGTTCAACCCAAAGCTAGAAAAATGAATAGAAAACGTAGTGTTAAAAAAAAAGGATAACTAACCCTCCTGGAGAAACCTCAGACTCGGTATACTTAGGTTGAAACACCTGACTAACATCTGAAGAATCGGGAATGCAAATGGATGAAATCTACCGAAATCTATCCAGAAATCAGCCGAGCATCATAAAATTTCACGACATGTGGATGGTGCAAGTGAATCATCGCCTCCAATTCTGCATAGACCTCGGTATCGGACGCGAGTCGTGGCGAGTCTCAAAAGCACCCAGTTAACGAGTTGGTTTTCGCTGTGGCCCAAGCAAACGCCATGTCATCAGCCTGAGCAACAGGGTGAATCCATGGTGAATCCCTGGTGAATCCCTGGTGAATCCCTGGTGAATCCCTGGTGAATCCCTGGTGAATCCCTGGTGAATCCCTGGTGAATCCCTGGTGAATCCATGGTGAATCCCTGGTGAATCCATGGTGAATCCCTGGTGAATCCCTGGTGAATCCATGGTGAATCCCTGGTGAATCCCTGGTGAATCCATGGTGAATCCCTGGTGAATCCCATGGTGAATCCCTGGTGAATCCCTGGTGAATCCATGGTGAATCCCTGGTGAATCCCTGGTGAATCCATGGTGAATCCCTGGTGAATCCCTGGTGAATCCCTGGTGAATCCATGGTGAATCCCTGGTGAATCCATGGTGAATCCCTGGTGAATCCCTGGTGAATCCATGGTGAATCCCTGGTGAATCCCATGGTGAATCCCTGGTGAATCCATGGTGAATCCCTGGTGAATCCCTGGTGAATCCATGGTGAATCCCTGGTGAATCCATGGTGAATCCCTGGTGAATCCATGGTGAATCCCTGGTGAATCCCTGGTGAATCCATGGTGAATCCCTCAGGGAATCCCTGGTGGATGTGGAGTTCACACACTTGGGTACTTTATACACTGTGTTGTCATTCCAGGAAGTCACCTTGCATAAACTAGGTCCCTGTGCATCCACATGATACAGAATCCCGGTGAATCCACACGTAATCCAGGGTGAATCCTGGATATCCAAAAAAATACCCCTGGACACCGAAGGGGTCGACACTATGGTGTAACACATGACGTTGATCAATTTCGACATGTCTGGTGAAAATCCCGTGGATCCGGTGAATCCCTGGTGAATCCATGGTGAATCCCTGGTGAATCCCTGGTGAATCCATGGTGAATCCCTGGTGAATCCCATGGTGAATCCCTGGTGAATCCCTGGTGAATCCATGGTGAATCCCTGGTGAATCCCTGGTGAATCCATGGTGAATCCCTGGTGAATCCCTGGTGAATCCCTGGTGAATCCATGGTGAATCCCTGGTGAATCCATGGTGAATCCCTGGTGAATCCCTGGTGAATCCATGGTGAATCCCTGGTGAATCCATGGTGAATCCCTGGTGAATCCATGGTGAATCCCTGGTGAATCCCTGGTGAATCCATGGTGAATCCCTGGTGAATCCATGGTGAATCCCTGGTGAATCCATGGTGAATCCCTGGTGAATCCCTGGTGAATCCATGGTGAATCCACTGAAATAAGACCGGGAAATACCGGGAACATGTTTTTCCAACGCCACAAAACGTCTCCGCGGAGGCTGTGTCAGAACGAGGCACGACATCCGTTAAAGGAAGCTTCCTCGGCACCAGATCAACCAATCCCATTTCTGACATAGCTGGCTGAAGCTGCTTGGTCTAAATAAAGGTCCTCGAAAAATGGGGCAACTAATGGAGCATACAAAATGGCATACTACCCCAAATCCATCAAAAAATCCATCCAAATCCGCTGGTTGATCATCATATCCAAGCCATTGCAACTTGCAGGGTCCGAGTTTCTTGATGGCGCGCCACTCATGAGTGAGCCGGCATTGCGCCTTGAAGACGGCACCAAATGCGCCGCTGCCCAACTTTTGCAGATTGCTGTAAGACTTCCTCGGGATCTCATGGGATGATGCTGATCACTTGCCTGACTTTTTGCAGAAAAGAGCTGCACTTCCTCGGAGAAATCATGGTGGTATAAGTTCAGTATGGCTTGGCAAGTGTCATTTTCAACTCGGGCACTACCGTTTGCGTTTGAGAAATGATATTGATATGGGATGAGGTGAGGGTGGAAGAGAGAAATATGATCTATTCCGATCAATCCGCTGCGGATGTCAGGCAGCGTGCCACCTATGAAATACAATACTGTCAATGCTGAACCACTAAAATGAAGCCAAGCGTCATCATACACCCTTAGTGCTGCAGTATGCTGCAATTGCTTGCACAAATGACACTGTGGAACTGGTATCAGCAAAAAAAAGAAAAAAAAAGCTACATCAACCACTGATCCACAGAAGATAGGGGCATACCGGCATACCCCTTATCCATTTCATGACCCTCATGGGGACAATGATTGCAGACCAAGCGATAGCGGGGCACAATATGCACAATAGTCATACACAGCCCCGGTCACAACCAAGGGACTGTTTGGATCTGACACAAAGAGGAGGCTCTTGATGTCCACATTGCTACCGCTTAAGCGATTGTACAAGGTGTGATACGCCTGAGGCATGCAGGATATCGCCGGCAGAGGGACTTACAATTTTGTCCCTTCACATTGAAGTCTCCCTGCGTGGCTCCATGAATAGACCCAGCACTAGGTTTCTGGAGAAAGTCTTGAATGTTCGGATAAATTACGGGAAGGGGATTGTCCATGATAGCCAGGCGCAACCAAGAGACCAATCTCTCCTTCAAAACGTTAGTCACGTCCTTCCGTGTCTTCAGCCAAGAAGGCCGGTAAGCCTTGGTTGCAAGGTGGTAGCACATCAAGCTAGCGTGAAATGATGCGCAACCAGGGTGAAGGTGGGCAATGTCTCGACCAGGACACCACAGGCCAGCATCGCAGCAAAACGGAAACCACTTGCGAGATGCCTCGAGTGATCAACATGTTGCACCGTTGATGAATTTGGCTGATGCTTCCCAACATTTCCAGGCTGCAGCAAACAATTCTATCCATCTTCACTTTCGACAAGCTGCACTCTGAATGCTTGGATTCGTAGCTCGTCGGCATGTTGCGCGATGATGCGTCAAAACAGTTCCAGTGTGGGAAAGCGGGGTGTCAGACATCTGAAGCTTGGGTGGCTTGAAGAAATTGCAGTGTTCAATGGAATGAAAGAAATGATGAAATATGGAAATTGTTTATGGCTGAATTCAGGTTAGTTGAGAAGGATCTGTCAGTAGGAGGCTAGCCAGCAAGCCTGCCAGCCTCAAATCGCAGGAAAGTTAAGCACGTCATGATTGCAACACGCACCCTTGCATGACAGAGACATTAACTATCTCCTCTTTGCTGGGCAGGGTTCCATCTGTTCAGAGTTCTTTTCCCCAGAGTCAGCTCAAATCTTCGGTTTCAGAACCTTGAGGCTGAAGCTCCAGGAAGAATCCCTTCAAAAACCGCTCTGGCCATGGCAAAACCCGTTGTTTTTTTTGCTGCGACATAGCATGGGTACCCCTGACAACTTTTAGATCTTACTGGAGCTTCATGTCAAGGGGCCACCTGGTCGAATCCACAACATCACGTCAAATGGCCTGGAAAAGTCAGGCACATAACAAGCCCTTCACTAAGCATGAGCCATATAATATATGCCATATAATATATGCCATATATGTGCCATATATCACTGAGCAGTTGCATTTCAGGCCAAAGAGCACGATCATAGATATCATAGCCATTTCAGACCAACAAAGTCACAGAAGTGCTTCTTTGAAGCTGCTCCGTGACAGTTCTCGACCACATTTGAATGTGTATTGCGACATTTACCACTGTGTCACTGTGACATTTTCCGTGCTCAGAGCATCAGCCATTCGTCCTCATTGCTGAGGACGTCACAGTATTCCATGCCAGAAGCAAGTCCACAAGCTGAACCTCCCATGTCCTTCCAAACAACTAACACGTTTATACGTAATTATGGCTAATGGCTAACCAAGGCTTCAAGTTTTAATTGACCTCCCTGTCAGCACAAAAGCAAACCGCTGACCACCGTCACCTCCCCTCATCCAAGCAACCCGAAGGCATCTAAATTGCACACCTCAAGTCTTTCACAGTTCAACTGGCAGCGACATGGAGCAGGAGTTTGGTATATAAAGGGTCATGTTGTATCGAAGAAAGACCATGCCGTGATCTAACATCAAAGTTTGATGTTAAGAGTTTCTCCTTAACGACCCGGATGGTACCAAGACTTCTTGACTCGGCGCATTCAACATCAACAACATCCTTCCAGAGTTCTGTCAGTGTCAAGGAACTTGATGAGCATTTTGCCCAAAGTCGATTTGAGCTCTGGGGTGCACTTGTCCATTTGGCAACTCATTCTCACGACCTTTGACCTTGGCCCATCCAGGCTGGAGTGATGCTGAATCACTGAATATCGAGGATCATCATCCCATTTCTGTTGAAAATCTTCTTACAGTTTATATATGTATAATATTATATAATCATGATTATTAACTTGCATTCTTAAGAATATGATGTATTCTTGCCATTATTAGTGTTTTATATTTAGAAAAACCTCAGCCAGTTTCGATGTTTCGATCCCCATGTTATCCATGTGTGTTAAATCCCTAGCAGTTTTGGACTGTCGTTGGGTCAAGGCACTTCTCCTTGAGCTGTTTCTTTGACAGTGGATTTCGGCAGCCCTTCTTGAAGAGCTCCAGAACCTCAGTGGCGACTCATTCTGCACCTTCGCCCCCTGACTTTTCCTCCAATGCCAGGTCCATATGGATCCACATGGTCCATTTAATGGTTAAAATATCTCAAAATTGTCCCAAAATGGTGAAAAAATGGACCAATTCGCCCAGACACAGCTTTGGCTCTTTCGCCTGCGAGGTGTGCTTGTCCATATTCAATGGAGATGGCCTCGAGCCGCCAGACAAAGGCCCTTTTGTTACTCGGTCCTTTTTTGGCGTTGAAAAAACGGTGCGGCTGAGGTGCGAAGTACGGGTGCACCCGCAGGATGTCCAACACCAAACGCATCTGTCTCATCCCTGTCTCCTGACGGCGAGATCCGAACATCTGCTCTGAAAAAACATCGAAAACTCCTCACAGCAGATACACACATCAATGGATTGGTTTAAGGGAAAATCTACAGGAAACCATGGTTTTTACCATCAAATATAGGGGTTTCCTGTAAATTTTCCCATCATCCAATTCTATGAACACATCAGCTATACATCAACTATACATGGACTAGATGACTACACACTTTACAGAAACAAAGCTGACACATTCGCCGTTGGTGATTCATCGGTTTGATCCGGTCCCCCTTCACTTTTTAAACATCGTCCTGCAAGAGGGTGTTGTTGTTTTCAAATGCCAAGGGAGTCCTTGGAAAACAGATCGACGAAATTTCACGATGACGACCTTGCCGCTTTGTCCAAAAGTTTGGTGCACCCGACACCTTTGCTTTACTGAGGAAAATAATGATAAACCCATAAACAGTGGATTTTTGGGGTGACAGTGTCGAAGTGATGGCTCAATGGATTCCACTGCCAAAGCGTGGCCGCATTCGTTCTATCGCCAGGCTGCTCCAAAAGGGTTTGAAGTTCCTCCAGCTTGGCTTTCATGGAACCAAATTCCGCCTGACCAGTGGTTTGCTGCTTCGAAGTGCCATTCAGAATGGTTAAAAGATGTTAAAAGCATATAGGATGACAAAATATAACAAAAAGGTATGTTCCACTTGGGCAGGTTGCCACTTCAGAACATCACTATGACATGCCCACGAAAATGTTGTGGCATCCTGCACTCGTCGTAGAGAGCTTTGTGGCTTCAGTCCGTCAGGGAAGTTATCCTGGCCGCAGTCATGTGGAAGAGGACCATGGTTTCTATTACCGGCCTTTTTTGCGCATTTACATTTGGTGTTGCTATCATTGTGTGTTTGGTTTGCTGGTTGTCTGATTGTTCTGGTTCATGTCGTTGTTGCGATGGCGATGATGATGGCGATGATGATGGCGATGATGGCGATGATGGCGATGATGGCGATGATGATGATGGTGGTGGTGATGATGATGATGATGATGGCGATGATGATGATGATGATCTTCTGCATGCTGCTTCTGCTTCTGCTGCTGCATGCTGGCTAGGCGCTGCGTTCCTGCTACTTCTGCTGCTTATCGATGCTGCCTGCTGCGGCATGATGCATCGCATCGCTAGCTGACGCTTCTGCTTCTGATGCTTGCGCTGGCGGGATGGCGCTGGCTCTTCTAATGCTGGCTCTGCCTGGTTGCTGCTGCGCTGCGCTAGCGCTGGCGCTGCTCTGGCTGCTGCTGCTGGCTCTGTGCTGGACTCTGCTGCTGGTCTCTTGCCTGCTAGGCGCTGCTGCTTCTGCTTCTGCTGCTGCGGGTGCTGCTGCTGCTGCTGCTGCTGCTGCGCTGCGCGGGCGATGCTGCTGGCGCTGCTGCTTGGTGCGCTGCTGCTGCTGCTTCTTCTGGCTGCTTCGCTTACTGCTAAAGCCTTGCTGTCTGCTGCTGTGCTCCTGGAATTATCCTGCTGATCCTGATGATGATGATGATGGCGATGATGGCGATGATGACGATAACAACATAGGTTACGATTGGGCTTCTGCACAAATTGTCACCGCGATTTCACCCCAGGCACACAGAATCAAATCAAAGACTTTTCAATCCAAGTGTAGTTAATTGGTTCAGTCCAACAATCCATGTAATCAGTCGTTTCACTCCAATAATCTTTTTTCAGTCCTTGATCAGCTTGTCGAAGTCAGTCTCCAAGTCTTTTACGCTCACGGCTCCTTAGATTGATCATTGACGTGCCCAGCACCAAATACCAACAGAATCTGACAAATCATATGATCCCTGAAAGATCTTCAATATACAATATACTGCATACATACTTACATAATCATACCTAGCTATGGCATGCTATGGCTATATCTCCCTACATTTACACTCTCGGACATTCGTCTCAAGTCACGCGAACGTGTGAGACCGGTGCGCACGCCGACGAGTATTTCGTGAGCGTACGGACCTTTTCCGCAAATTAATTAAATGCAGCTGCCCGCGTCGGGGAAAAGCGAATTGGGTCGCAAGTTCCTGCAAGGCCCAAGGGACCAGACAGCAGATGCGACCAGAATACCTAGCAAATCGGCGCAAATTGCTGGCAGCGAGCAGGGGCGTGCCAGAGAATGCAAACCATCAAAAGTGAAAAATGAAGAGCGGGCCGTGCCGCACGAAGGCAAAACCCAGCAAATGCAATCAATATACGAATTTACTGGCCAACGGCGGTTGCGTTGGACCAGCGCAACGAGGTGGCCTTTCCAACATCAGTGGCTCTCCAGCTTGATCAGGTTCGAACCACGAATTGCAACACATCGATCATTGTGCACACGGACTCCGTACCTGTCATTGGCAGTGCGGCTGGGGATAACGATGCCTTTGACGCCGTTCAAGCTGTCATCAGAGAGGCCGGTCAGCAGCACTTGGTCACCAACGCGAATGCATTCATTTGACTTGTCTGCCATTGCAATGCCTTGGCTGTCAGGTAGGACATCGAGGTTGCAAGGGCGGATTGCAACCTGACCACCATTCGACAAAAGCACACCGTAACGGCCAGAACGAAGGCACGTGGTTACTGTACCGGTTTGCCCGTTCATACCGGCCGTCTTGAGGCCTCTCAGAACAACTTGTTCACCAGTAGCATATGCCGACTTTTGGACCTGTGGCAGGACAAGATTGTGGTCGCAAATGTCATGCTTCACAGCTCCCAGGCCGGAAGAATTCCAATCAACCTGCAAATCTTCCAAGCCTGCCTGTTGCGCAAACACCTTCATAGCGTGTTCCAGCAACTCATCATCAAAGCCCCTTTCCTTGGTGCGCACCTCCACCACCCGGGCACGGGAAGGAGTCCGCTTTGTTGTGCGAACATGAGGTTTTCTAGACGAGCTCGAAGCAGATTGCGATATCTGATCTGAAAAGGGCAGGTGACGAGCCAGACAAATCTCCACGCGCGGGCCATCCGCAGGAACGTCACAAGACCCGTGCCCCGCCTGCGGGCGGTCACTGCCGAGAAATCCACAACATGGGCATGGCATGCACTGATGCAGGGCCATTGCGAAATGAAATGGCATCCATGCCTGCCACACAAACCAATGCCATAAGAATGGGTCCGGCACAGGAATCACAACGTAAGGTGAGTCAGCGCGGAGCGCCATGGCAAGGACGAAGGCAGATCGCCACGGAGATACAGCGGGGGAGCCTGAACTGAACAGCAAGACACAAGGGCGCGAACGCAAGGAGCCAACGCCGCCCTGAATCACGGCCGGAACGCCACAGCCGCCAGACGGAAAAGCCACGAACAGCACAAGACCCAAGCACCTGATGTGAGATCACAAAGGAAGGGCACAAGACGAATAAGGGGACAGAAACACCTGAGAGCACAAAAGCCAAGGACCTGAAAGAAAGAGAAACGGGACCTGAAAGCAAAGAGAACACCGGGGTTCAAAACCAAACAAAAGCACTCCTCAAGCTATCTGTCGAAACGGCCCCACCACTGGAAGGTTGCTTGAGCCAAGGGCTCTCCCTACATTTACAAACATATTAGGACTGATTCTAGATTTCTAATGATTTCTGCAATATTTGTTGCATCAAATCCTCACCCAATGTGCGACTAAAGCATCCACTGACGATTGCCCGCGCAGCCTCCAAGTGCGACATCTCATGTAGTGCTGCACGGCCACTGGTCAAGATCTCCTCCATGCCTTCAAAAAATGGGAGATGGAGGCCCCAAATGGGCCGCAAATTGATGGCAATTTGATTGGGGAATGGGGGCCATCCACCATTTCGAGGGCCCAAGTTGCTCCCAAATCGGCGCAAAACACCACGCTCTCTAATTGGGCTATGACATGGCAAACCTTGAAGCGACTTTCATAATCATTATATATGTTATAAAATGCTATAAATATCTCTACCAGTGGGAATTCATAATAGTTCATCCAGTGGTTGTGGGTGATCCTAACAGCAGCAAGGCATAGGTCAGCTTCAGCGGCCTTCGAGGTCAGAATGCTCAGCTTTTGCGAGAACGCTCCGCAAGGCATGAGAGTCCGACAAGCTGATGGCACTTTTGATTTGGTTCTCCAGCAAAGCCCGACGATACCTCAGTTTTTTTAGGCCCCATTCACTTGATGAAACTCAGACCATGAAAAATGGGGTCCCATTAAACCCCATTAAAAACACCATTAAACCCCATTAAACACCATTAAACCCCATGAAATGATCCAATAGCCACTCAGCAGCTCAGGCGCTCTCTCTCTCTCTCTCTATGTCTCGTGTTTGGGTGATCTGCTACTTTTCTATCACATAGACACGAGTGGTTTGGGCAGAGTCGACATGAGTCGACTGTCGACATCAAAAGCCATTCTCACCCGAAATGGGAAAATACCTGTCCTTGCATTGCTCAGTCACGTGCTAGAGGCTTGGCGGAGATCTTGTGACATCCTAACACAGCAGGCGATTCTTGATAGCATGACGTGAGCCAGCGATTTCTTCAAACTACCGTGAGCCGCTCTAATGACATCAAATGACTTCAACAAATAGCAGGCTCCATTAGGATCCAATATGATCGGAAGGACTTGAATATAGTTAAACTGTATTAAACTGTATTAAACTGATCATACTGATCCGCATGAGATGTCCTTTTGACCTGTGACTTATGGACCATGGCATGTCACGTCCTCAGCTTGGCCGCTTCCTTCATCTTCGTTGGCAAATCTTTCAGCACTTGGGTGCTGCTCTTGGTTAAAGAGACCTTGATTTCTTCATGCCTGGGCCGAGATCCGAAGAGATCTGAAGAGTACGAGTCCGCCAGGTTCAACAAAATGGGCTGAGCCAGGAGTGTTTCGAAAAGTCGTGATATGTACTATATGGGTATGGGTCAATACCTATTTTCATACCATTTTTAGTGGGATGAACATCCATAAATCCCAGCTATTTTGGGGTTCACTAGGTACCAGGGTCTTGACCCATCCCCATATGTACTGATGCCTCCGCAAGGCAAGGGAAAAAAAGAAACAAACTCCACTTCTGCTCAACCAGCAGGGCCCTGCTGGCAGACTGGGTATGGCACACTTTGGCTTTTTGCTTGGCATCGAAGAGGGTCTGCAAGGCCTGAGTTTTGCATCAAAGCAAGTTGTTTGTACAACATCTGGTGCAATTAACTGTGGCTGAATCCAGCATGCTGTGTGCATTGGTATTTGCGTGAATGATATTGTGTATACCTATGTATGTATGTATGTATGTATGTATGTATGTATGTATGTATGTATGTATGTATGTATGTATGTATGTATGTATGTATGTATGTATGTATGTATGTATGTATGTATGTATGTATGTATGTATGTATGTATGTATGTATGTATGTATGTATGTATGTATGTATGTATGTATGTATGTATGTATGTATGTGTATATATATATGTATGTATGTATGTATGTGTATATATATGTATATACACATATCTATATATATATATGTGTGTATGGGTAATATACTACACACGCACACATAACATAACTATAACACATACGACACAAATAACACAAAACATTACATTACACTCTACACTGGACTGCAGCACACTACATCACTGCACATTATATTACATATAAATGTATATCTGTGTTACATTAATGTGTACAATGAGAAGGCTCCATAATATGCGTTACATGTATCACCTGTGCATGTGTGGCAAAAGGGATACCGTATACCACACTCCTTGCCAAGCTGCTCCAGAGCGCACCTCTGCCACGAGTTTTTCCAAATCGGTTTTCTTCCCAAGTTTGCTCTCCTAGGCATGCCACGCGAGGCCCTATAAAACCTTTCCTGGAGGCAGAAGGCCCTACTAAATGCTGTTTGAAATATGGCATCACAGTTGACAGGTCTCATGATTCTCAAATCTCAAAGTCCACAAGCAATGCGCTGGCCCCGGGGGCGCCAGGGATTGCATGGTAACATCCCCCATCAAAAATGCCCCAAGCAAAGGCCTTTTTCGGTCCAAGAGCGCGCGTCAGGTGATGTCCTACCGAACCCTCAGGCAGAGTCCGCTTTTTGATGCAGCATTTCCCGCTGGGCGCTGCAAAGGATCTTCACCTTAAAGCGTTGTTCCATTGCCTCGACATCTTTGATGAATCGCTGCACTGCTGCCTTGTAAATGACCTTGTCACTCTTCGTCATGTCATCCACTTTCTGGATGACATCTGGCGGCATGTCGTCAATCGTTTGGTTGTAGTGCTCGCCATGCGTATCTTTGGTCTCATGATAGGTAGCCCATGCTGGACTCTCACAGTTGCAGTCGTCAGGAAGTGACCCAAGCAAGTGACCGTGGAACAGGCACATGGACTCATGGTAGGCTTCAGTGACCCCAAGCATGGTCGTTTCATCCAAACTCTTCAGGGCCCTGTCCAAGTCTACGGTCTCATGGCATTCCCTAGCAGGACCATTGGTGGTCAAACATGCTAAGCGGGCTGCCTGCATGTTGTATGGACAATAGCAAGCCTCATCATCTTCGTATATGTCGTAGTCACCAAAGCGTGGAGTCTTGTGCCACTCATCTATCCACTTGCCAAAGGTATCTGGCAATTTGTAATTGGCTTGGCCTTCCAATTTCTGCTCTGATCCCGCAATCATCCGATAGAGTGGATCTGTGGCTTGATCACAAAACTCATACATGGAAAAGACGTGATCCCGTGGTCGCCGGACCATGGTGACCCTATCCTTGAAGTAAGACGAGCCGTTTGCATCCATGGACGCTGCAAAGCAGGCCTCATGAGTAAAGATGTGATCACGGCCAACCATTGCACTCAGATCTTCTACCACAGAACAACCTGCCACCTTAGGAGTATGGAGGTGAAAAACCGTGGCACCAGCTGCAGCCTTTCCCTTCGTGTCGAAGTTAAAATCCCAACAAAGGACGCCCTTTTGGCTTTCTCGACTCAGCTGAGCCGGAGAGATGTGATGCAAGGCAATCGCCGAGCCCAAAAGTATGAAGAAAAGTTTCGATATCATTGCTGGAAAGGGTACAGGGTAGGGGTGAACCCTGGTGCTTTATAGGTTTGAGCCAAAGGTCAGATGACAACCTCAGGTTTGACGTGTCGCAATTGTTGTGCGCCTTTCCACGCCTTTCCACCCATAGATATCATTCACATTCCATGGCCTAAACTTCAGCCGAAAAGCTAACCACAAAACATGGATGGTTTCCAAAGTTCCAAAGTTGCTGTTGAGCATCATCCAGCTTGCATTTTGATAGAGCAGCCTCCAGTTGCTTCACATCTTCGGTTCTCGCCGCTCGAGTCAGCTGAGCCAGTTGGGACAATCTCTCCTGAGAAACGCGCGGAAAAAAAACAAGTCGTGCAAACTGAATCAAAATGAAAGGAAAGGAAACAAAGGGATGATAGGGATGTATTCAAATGGCAAATTCACCATAACCACATGTTATAACACAAGTATAATCAAGAAGCGTGTAAGATGTTCAAATATATTCAAAGCCCTGTTCATCTTCATTATACAAAGGTACGATATATCTTAAATCTCTATATATATACATATACATGTATGTGCGTGTGTATGTGTGTATGTGTGTATGTGTGTCTGTGTGTCTGTGTGTCTGTGTGTCTGTGTGTCTGTGTGTCTGTGTATCTGTCTGTCTGTCTGGATGTATGTATGCATGCATGCATGGATGCATGGATGTATGTATGCATGCATGCATGCATGCATGTATGTATGTATATCCATATGTATGTCTGTGTAAATAGATTTAGATGTATATATATATATGTATAGTATCTATATATATGTGTAGAATTTTATGTACAGATCTAATAATATATTTATTTATTTATTTATACATATATAACTATCGTTAACTTGACTGATCTTGATTCGTTGCCCAGGGTCAAAGAATCGGCTATCGAATTTGCCGAGTGCGTTCTGGATGGGCTCCACGTTCAGTCCAGCTTCTTCACAAGCAGGAAGGGCACCCCTTGGCTTCGTGAAACGGACGCCCGTTTCAGGCCATGTCTTGTAGGGATATTCCCTGAAATTAAGGCCTGAAAAATAGACCTTATATATGGTAGGTACCTTCAATTTAGGAACCTGAAATGGCCATTGATTTTTTGATTTGTAATGCTATATAGGTATATCTATAGCTTATCTATAGTATGTTTAGGAGCTTGACGATGGTTTATGCTAGGTATATCTATAGTTTCACGATGATACTGATTATAAATATAATTATATATATATACTGCGGTTTATAAATAAACAAAGATGACCGGGAAACCACCTTGATCACCTTGCCCGAAATCCTCACCTGACCCTGGGATTTCCAATTGCCAGGCTTGAGTACTAGAGGGTTTTTTGGGGGGGATTTCTTAGAATGGGGGATCCATGGGTTTCAACACTTAAATGTTCTATATATGTTTGTTTCATTTTTGTTTCTAATTTGAGGGTGCCCTCATGATTTAGGAAATCCTAATATAGCTATCCATTGACATCCGGCAAAAGTCAGCCATTGGTTGACCCCAAACCAAGCATCTCCAGGAGCACTTTGCTGCCAGCAGCACACGCTCCCAACATCGCCCAGCGCGCAGTATTTCGGCTACGAATCGGCCCATAGCCAAGATCAACCCGCCTGCAAAAAAGCGAACTTGGTTAACTCAATGTTAACTCTGGTTTATGGAGGATATATCGGGTTCTACATGCTTCCAAACCAACTTCGAAACCATCGGAAACTATTGGAAACCACTGCAAAATGATAGGAACCATTGGAAAACCCTTGGAAAACCCTTGGAAAACCCTTGGGCCAAGTTGCTGCAACATCTCGCAGCGATCTGCTCGAAGCCCAGCTTCTTCGGAAGCCCACAGAGCTGCGCGAAAGGCTGGACCTGTGCCCTGAGCTGGTGCAAATGGCTGAAGAAAGAGCAGAGTTTTCCAAACCCACAGTTTTCCATAGTGTTCCATCATGTTCATTCATTTTCCATATTTGGGGGCAGAGTTTGCATCCAGTGTCGCAGATCTGCCCCAAAATGTTTTCTCTTGAGAGTCACGGACCATGCCGGTCACCGATTTCCTCAACAAGTCACCACCTCCAATGCCGTCTTGAGAGCATCGAAGGCATTGAGCAAACGATCAATTTCCTGCCTCGGTGGACGCAGAATAAGTAGTGTGGCAACGGTGTTGAGAATACATCTATATAGAACTGTGACATGTTCATTTATGCGAACAAAAATGTAAATGAATTACGAACAACCGAAACTACACCTCACTACGCAAATCACATCAATATATTTGTACTGCATCTTAGAGATGTAGATATAATATACAACTACATTTTTTCATGAACAATTGTTAACATATGGTTATCCTTCAAAGATACGCGTTTTGTTCGCTGAGCCACAACAGGGACGCTGCATCGGGCCGCTGATCCAGGCGGCTGCGCTCAATCCATGGATGCAGATCCTCCAGCAGCTCGAGGTCTTGGGCCTCAACGACCTGGCACAAGAAAAGGCCGTCAACTTTACCCACATGTGCAAATACACCCATACTTATAGATATATATATATATACATAATTATATGTGGTATTATATTATTATTATATATATATACATTATAATATCTATACTATAAAATATTATATTATATATATAATATATATATATATATACGTGTGTGTAAAAATAAATCCATAAAGTAACTAACAAATTCAACAATTTCTGTGTGTCTGTGCGCGTTGTGTGTGCCAGTCAATTTTGGCCATCTGTTCGCCGCGGCGCCTCATCCAAGCGATTCATGACCCTGGGCACCAGTGCTTTTCAACAACACATGGGGAGCACTTGAGTCATGAAAAGATATGAAAATATATTGAATAGCAAGAAAAACATGACGGATTGACTATACATGACTATACATATATATATGTGTGTGTGTGTGTTTGTGTGTACATGCAATTTTGTAATGAAAAGGAATAAATCCATTTATCTCAGATCCCCACTTGAAGTCTTGACCTCATGCTATTGAAACTACAATGTTCTAGAACTAAAGTGGGTCTTGGTATGTGCCGTTCGAAATAATCTGATGTTGCAGTCCACATTGCAAATCATGTTCATGTTCAAGTACCCTTCGGGGGAAGCGTGGTCTCGCCATCATGCAATCTCACTCTCAAATCTGAGCAATACTCCAGGGCCAGCGGCATTTCGGCTGACAAGTGACCCCAGCTGCCATTGATTCAAAGTCATCTTGAGTCGTCCAGCGAGTTTTTTGGATTGACTCAGCTGTGCTTCTTTCAGCCTTCGTGCGGGTCAACCAATGCTGCAGGATGCTGCAGGATGCTTCGGATGCCAAGGACCTGCCAAGGTACTTTGGAAGCGCAATTTCGCCTGCTTCCACTGCATCTTCGATAATGGGCCATCCTCGGGGTTTCACCGGGGTTTCACCAGGCTTTCACCAGGCTTTCACCAGCTAAGATTAAGTGACTCAGCTGAAGTGATTTGACACGTTGATTTTATACCCTCTGATTACATAACATAGCTAATGGCCCATTCATAGATGATTCACCTATCAAAAATTGTGATTTTCCATAGCTAAAGTGAAATAACCAAAAGGAATACCCTCTGGTAAACTAACATAACTATGGAAAATCACCATTTTTAATGGGGAAAATCCACTATTAATGGCCATTTTCAATAGCTACGTTAAATTACCAGAGGGTAGTTTCATATATTTTCTGTGACCTGATATGACCTGAATTGACCTGACTCACCTGAGACACCTCCAACCATCCCCATCCCCATCCCGTAGGCCATGTGACGTCGCTCGTCGTCGGTTGGCTGTTGAAGGCATTCCTTTAAGCGACGTGTGGCGAAACTTTCCACGATGAAGGCTTCCCTCACCTGCAACCTGACGGAGTGTTGGAGAAAAGGCTTGGCATATCTTGACGTCAGAATTTAATCCATATTGCATCAGCAATTGAGCAAAGTAGTTAAGCAATGTTAAGCATCCAAGTTTGCTTTAACTAGATTTTTTTGGGACCAGATCCAATCATATCCACATCTTGCCGCTGGAGATTCCTCGTTGTTTTTGGACGCTCATTTCGGAGGCAAAGGAACGGCTATGCTGTAAGCCCGCTGCTCTGACTCTCTCTCTTCAGCCCATGGGACGTAAAGTTTGCCGCAATCGGGCAGTGAAGCTAAAGTTGGACAAGGCCAGCGTGCAAAAGACTTTCACAGCTACAAAAGGCATCGCTGAAGCCGCCGTTCATTCTCACTTTGGAAGTTGCACATGTCTGCATGGTTTCCCCATTTAGTGCAACAATTTGGGAAAGCAATTAACAATGCGATGGCTATGACATGAAGACTACACCTCGGGCGTTTCATGCTGCTTTGAGCATTTGCCGGTGAAGTGTAGAAGAGGGCCGCGGGCCCTCTCAGAATTCTCAGAGTAAATCGATTTCTGGCGATTGTCCATGGAAGACTTTGAGCCGAGCAATCTCTTCCTCTGCTTTCTTCAACTGCAACTGGGATTGCTCAAGCTCTGCCCTCAAACGGGCATTCTCCTGCCAGGGAGAGCAAACATTTCAACATATATGTCCATAAAACAGGTGCCTTCGGCTTCAAACATCTGCCCTGGTGGTTCCTTTGCTTGACGCGAAGCTGTTTCAAACAAAGATTTAAACAAACCGCACCTCCTGCACCTGTGCCCCTGAGACCTCTGCAACTTCTGCAAGTTTCGCCATGTCATTTGCCATCTTAGACACATCTTGGCATATTAGCCTCATCAATTGAGCAAATGACGTCCACAACCACTGGACCACCCCAAGTACAAATGACTTCATCAATGGCAAAGCTTGGATACTAAAAGACCTAACGGCATGATTCCCTCGCAATGTGGCACCCCCCCCTTTCGGACCATGTTTTAGGCCACAAACATATCAAAGGTAAAGCCCAAGGTGCCACAGCTGTGGAAAGCGAGCCCTCACTGCTTGCAACTGCTGAGGCTGGGCAAAGGCTCCATCAGCGCCTTCGCTCAAAGCCCCCAACATGGCAAAACGAAGGCTCTCTGCCAAGTTCTGCTCATCCAATCCTCACCAAACGCAGAAAGCTTCTACAAGGAAACTGCGAGAATTACCACTTAGCTCAGGGTTGAAAATCCCAACACGAAGCCAGTTCTGAGATGTTATTTGGCCTCCAGCCACGTTTTGGGCCAAGTTTCCGGCTTGCTCTGGCACGGCGACAGCAGACTTTGGAGCTTCCTCTGGTGAATTTTCCGGTGAAGCACCTGAGTTCTTTGGAAGCCAGGCCATGTCCCCCCTGCTTTTAGCCACCCAGAATCTGGACGTCATTTGTGAGTTAAGTGTTTGCGGACAATTCCCCCGGGGATATTGTGGAAAAAATATTATCATCATTGTCTACTATGATGCCCAAAGAAAAACGTTTGTTTTTGTGTTTTTTGATATTTGTTGGAAAGAAAGTTAATACCATAAAGTGAAAATCCATGAAAATCCGTTGAGGACATTTGACCACATTAGCACTCAAGTCTGAGCAAGTTTGACGGGGAAATATGGTGGGAAAAAAAAACTGACTGAAGTCTAGTGATACTAAGGCGCCTTCCTTCTGCGCTGTGTCTTCCTCCCCCAATGACAAAGATGTGACACTTTCCTGTGGGACGATGTCTGGAGGGATGCTTTCGACGCTGGACTGAGTGAGGTTTTCACCTGGCAAGGTGAAATCGGAAAGCAGCAAGAACCTTCCTTGGGAAAGCACCCAGCAAGCAGATCTCATTTCCTAGATGAATCCCCCCCGATTTCCCCAAGTTCTCCTAGGAGGCGCAAATTCGAGTTCGTAGATATTACTAAGATCTAGGTTTGCATATACATTTTGATATTCACCAATATTTTGGTGGGCATAATCCCCCATGATCATCAACCAACAAGGCTTTTGAACACTGCGTTATGACAGCATGACTGTCACGGTCGCTGCCTCGATCTGTCTTGTCTTTTCGGAAGCCAGCGAACTTGTGCAGATCCAGAAAGCGCTGCTGGCCATAACTTTGTCTCACCATGTTTTGCTGCTGGCGTCTCTCTTCTTCGCTCTGCTTCTGTAGTGCCATGTGGGCATGAAGCTCTGGATTGTGATAGCCTGCCACACCACCCAACAGAGCTGTTTTGGCAAAATCCTTTGGTCCTGTGACAGAAAACTGTGTTGGTTAAAATGCAAGACACACCATGAAATCACAACCTTCTTAGCCCAGTGTCGAAATTTCAGCCGCAGCTTGGGGGAAGTCTTGTCTGCCAACAGGTTGATCACAGCATGTGCAAACATGTCGCCAGGTGCACAAATGTCCAAGCTACTGTTGGAAGGGAGGAGTCCGACCCAGGTCTCCCACTCATGCGGTGGTTGAAGAAAGTGCTTGCTGATGACGGCCAAAGGCAAGACCATGTGGTAAAGCATAGGTGCCTCATCTTTCAATCTCCTTCTCACAAAGATCTTCAAGCATATCTGCAAAGGGCAGTCCATGAAATCAACACCACCCGCCTTCAGTAAGGACTCGCACTCGAAGAGCACACAGCCCTCATTGGTGGCTAGTTCGGTAAAGAGGTCCTCCTCTGAGAAATGTTTGGAGTCAACGATTGAAATCCTCAAATAATGTTCCAGGTTCGCCATATCGGCTGTGCCACATCTATGGTGGCCTCAGCCGCGTCACCGAAGTGCATGGCGACACGCCGTCTGAGCCCAGAAGCTCGCTATGAATCGCTCGGAGAAAGCCATGGGCATTGTGCAATTCTCTAATGGGACCTTCTCAACCTGACCCAAACCTTCAGAGTCTACATATTCTACATGTTTGATCGTCTTTGATCATCTTGGATCATACTACGGGCACTTGATGTATATAGGCCAAATGAATCCAAATGAAACATGTCAATTCGGTGGACACCGCAGGAATGTGAACGGCTTGACGCCGCGCGGTGGCCTTTTCTGAACAACTTGAAGATTCCACTTTTCCTCATCCAGACCCTCCACGTCATCCGCGATGTCCAAAGCAGACTTGGGAAGCATGGTGATGAAGCAAATGTTGGAAGCAAACTCTACATCTTGACAAAGCACAAGCACTAATACAAGACCTAGTTTGCAAGTATGGCAACCCAAATAGGTCTAGCAACCCAAATTGGTTCATGATCGGACTGGATGCTGCCAAGCTTCCAAGTCATTTAGGATGCTACTCTTCTCTAGAAAGTTGGCCTCAGCGCATTGCCAGCTTGGGACTGCACGGTGCGATACCCTCTGGTAAACTAACATAACTATGGAAAATCACCATTTTTAATGGGAAAATCCACTATTAATGGTCATTTTCAATAGCTATGTTAAATTACCAGAGGGTAATTCACAGCATACCCCACTGCCATACCAAGTAGCTGTAGAACGAGCTGCTTCCAAAAAATGCGATGCCTTTTCACAGCGAATTGGCTCGCTCCCGTTGATCCTGGCTTTCGGGCAAGAGATAGCCAGCCCACTGTTCCTGATTTTAAACCCTGAACTCACCACCTATTGTTTTTTGGTATCTTGGATTATCCTCACTGATTAAACACCAGAAATCATTAAAAAGATGTTCAACATTGTTCAACCAATTCTAAACATTCAAATCCACCACATCGATATTGTTGGCCCTAAACCCTACCAGGCCACGCAGCAATACGCAGCACCCTCCGCGCCTCAACGAAGCAGTTGCGCCCAGTGACTTCCGCAGAGGCGAGCAATACACCGACTTGGAACGAAATGGCGTCGTCGGTTCCTGCTCGGAAGCTGCGGAAGGCGGAACCGAAATCCCTTGGAAGTTGGTGCACTAGAAGTCGGAAAGAGTGCGGGACGCATGTAAAAGATCCCGTTAAAATAGATGCATAGATGTAAAATGAATCAAACTGATGTAAAAAAACTAACTAACAATATTTATATAGGATTGTATGATTATATAGGTATATATATGGATAAAGTAGTAGATATCATTTCAGATCAAATGCCTTCACCTATCTGTTGCTGTTGCAACACAACTCGCGGAAGCAAAAACGGCAGGGACTTCTGCATCAAAGGATCATCCAGACTCCACTGACCGATGCTAAGCAATGGCCGTGGTGACTGTGGCTGCGACTGTGAGCCTTGGTGCAGTTGCGGCCTTGAAACAGTTGAGACATCAGCAGCTAAGTCTTGTTTTACTGGCAATATATATATAGCAAACAAATAAGGCTTATATTAATAGCAGTATAGTAAGCACATGTAACATCTCTAACATCATCTAACCATAATTATGCCATAATTAACCATATCATACCTGTCAGACCTGCCAGATCTTGGATAACCTCAATATCTTCTTTGCCAAGGCACCACCGGGGCTTGCAAACGACATGTTGAATCAGGACCAGAATGGTTACCACAGGCAAAAATGTCTGATCTTCCCATCTTAGAGCTCCGAACTTGTGCTATCGCTATCCATTCGATTGTAGTGTTTTATAGTCATTTATAGTGTTTTGCTATGAGTCATTCTCATGGATCTCTCAGCACACGCCCGCTGGTGAGCCAAATTGCCCTGCATGTCCGTGTCGTGAATTGCATCACGGCTCACGTGGGCTTCGCGTCGAATCAGCGCTGCGACAATCCGTGCACAGCGCAGTGCTTTTTCTGGCGACAGAAAACTGTGACTCACCCGTAGCCCTGATCATCTGGCAGACACTGCCTCATCGCCAGAGAACCAGGATAAACATGGATAAACCATGGATAAAACCAGGAAATTTGGGAGGCCAAACACTGACTTCGCATCTGAAAAAACCACCGAGAAACCTTGGACCGTTTCTTTCACCTCCCGGAGATGCTCCGCCCGTTTGATGGATGCGTTTTCTCACGCAGATTTGTTTTAAGCCATCCGAGAAAGACTGCCATGGGGTGCCAATGGAAATCGCATACATTGTTGTATTATCTATCTATCTATCTATCTATCTATCTATCTATCCATCTATCTATCTATCTATCTATCTATCTATCTATCTATCTATCTATCTGTCTCTCTCTCTCTCTCTGTCTGTCTGTCTGTCTGTCTATCTATCTATCTATCTATCCATCTATCTATCTATCTATCTATATAATATATTATGTTATATTATATTATCTTATCTTATATTATATTATATTATATTCTATTATATTGTATTATATTCTATATCTATATCTATTTCTATATATATATATATATTATATATATATACTATCATACGTATGATCACAAAGCTGTTTGGATCGGACTGAGCTTCACGCACCCACACTGGAAAGTACTGCATGGATGTGGTCCTTCGGGCCTGAAGCAGCTGCCAGCTGCAACTCGAACTGCCAGGTGTTTGTCTAGGACCCAGGCCCAAAGCCAAAGCCACTCAGCCTCTGTTCCACCTGGACCCAATCCAGTGCCACATGGCAAAAGCTCTGGATACATCAAAAGTTGACGGGGATGAAATACAAGATACTTGTTACTAGTCAGTGTGAATAGATTGTGTTTCACCTATACGTTAAATATCGTGATATGTATGTGTATGTGTGTGTATATGTGGGTGTGTGTGTGTGTCTATTGCACAGGTACAACTCATTTCCCTCCTCACTACAGTAGCAGCCTCACACAGTTGCGCCTGCATGTTGCACAAATAGTTCAGAACAACAAGTGGAAAAAAGAAGGACATACCAATCCATAGATTGGTTTGAGGGAAATTTTATGAAATTTTACAGGAAACTGTAGATTTTCCCCTAAACCAATCCATTGAACCAACCCAAACGGCCCATTGCTCTGCCTCGCTCCCCAGCAATTTCTGCCAGGACTTGCGCCACGACAGCACCAACTCCAACACCACGTCCGTGATGGTACGAGAAGCCGCCCGAGGTCAGGAATCCGACCAAAGGGCGGATGGTCTCCACCTTCATCCGATTGCCCCCCAAAAAAAAGTGGGACCATAGAACCTGTAGCCATATCAAAATGAAGCCTTTTCATGCCTTTTCCACATATCATTGGATGTCACTGGAATTGATGTCCACTCGTGGCCACAGTTGCTGCCTTGGCTGGTTCCTGTTGTCGGCGTCGAAGTCGTGACATCTTCTGGCTTCGGTGCTCCGGTTCCTGGCCATTTGAGTTTGAGAACTTCCGCGATCGCCGGATCTTCTAAGTTAAAGGTGGAGGACTTTCAGCTATTGCTCTTGGGACTCTTGTGATTCAAGTTGGCATTTGAAGAGAATCTCACTCTTGGATCCCAAAAGGTTCTGTGGAGTCCACATCTTGCTTCGAAAATGTAAATGTCATCAGGTCATCCATCTCTTGCTCCGTCTGCCAGCTGCACTCTTTTCTCGTTGCACTGGCTCTCAGGCCATCAGAAGTGGTGACCCTCCAACACTTCCGGTGCCAAATCTTCCAGATCCTGGCGATGCAGCTGGCGATAACATGTGCAGGATGCCCAGCTTCCTCCTCCCATGGTCCTTGCAGGATGGCCCGGCTCAAGCACATGCCCAAAGAGCGGTGCAGGTCTTGAAGTTCCTTGTTGCTGCATTTCGTGCTGCTCTGCAACGTTGCCTTGGCAAGATCTTGGGCTTCAGGAGGGAACCAAAAAATCCAAGATCTTTACACACATGGCGAAGTAATATGGCTGTGCCTATGTTTTCCTGATGAAAAATATGGTCTTCCATCCCCTCCAAAGCCAGGCTGCAACATTCGCAATCTTCATCAAAGCCAGAACCTCCTCAGCCTCAAAAGGACATGGATCCTCATCCAGTGCAGTCGCTAGCTCTTCCTGCCAAAGGCCGGCTGAATGGTTCCCCTTATCCAAATCAGCATGCCATAATGTGGTATGTGGTATGCATGAAATTGTGGAGGAACATCGACACATGTGTGTGTGTGTGTCTGTGTGTGTATATGTGTG